GCAGTCATATGTGAAGTTGAGAGTGAGGCCGGAGGAGAAAGAGCCGGAGGAACACTGTCACCTCTAACCACTTCCTTGGTGTGTCGTATCAACTGCGACAGCAGGCACACCCTGACCTAACTCCTCTCGGGGGGAGCCGCCTACTTTCACATCCACAGGTATGAAGACTCACTGCAGCTAAGGCTTTTCTCAGCGCACACACACACACACAAGTGCAGGAAGTAGTTTGGGTCAAGTGATAATTCCGCAATAAAAAAAGAGCACGTGTATTAGAACGTGTGGACTTCAGGAAGCACCGGGAAGAAAAACCAAAACAAGATTACCGTCAGATACTGGACATGACTTGACCTGTGGACAGAACAGCCAAAACTTAGACGTTTACATTTGAAAATGTCTCGCTCTGCTGCAGAGGTTTGGTGCCACATGTGTGCACTGTATAAACAAAGCCATGAAGATGTGAAGGAACAGACTACCATTATGTTTGGTAACTTCTTTACCTATAATTAAAGATTCTTTAATTGCACATAACAAGTAAGAGAACAAGTTCCTGTGCAAATTAAAATGTTCCATTTCACCTCATACAACTAATAACTAATTTTACTTCCTTATTATGTTTTTATTATTAACAGACTTTGGTTCTTGCTGTTCCTATCAGTAAAACAACAGTTCGGCTGTTTGGTAGTGGGAAAGCTAATGAGTCTGCTCACGTAGACAACTGCAACTCCAAGTATTGCAACAGTGGAATATTTCATATTTTTTAGGTTTCTACAGATTTTAAAATAAACTGACTAATAATTCCCATGTGTTTGTGCAATGCTGGGCTGTCCATACCCTTTTAGATTTTAGCAAATACAGTGGAACCTCAGTTGTCGAGCGTCTCCCATTTTTAACCAAGAATTGCCCAAGGAAGCATAAAAGAAGCTACGGTTGCCAACGGAGTGACTGTAATCACCAAGCAAAGATCTCAGACATGAGAAGAAGTAGAAAAGTTGCTACTAATTTGGATCAACAAAAAGCAGTTGGTCCAAGACAGTATTTCGGAGCGAACATTGCGCAATCACGCCTCCTCAGCACCGGTAAGGATGAATAAAATTGCCTTTCCTATTTATAGATTTATTCTTTATTCAGTTGTGTTTACATTTTTTGATGAATCTTATTATTTTTATTAGTTTAACCTATACACAAAATACTGTTTGAATAAGCAGTCATACGGAGTCCAGGAACTGATTAAACCATTTTACATTGATTCCTATGGGGAAAATTGTTTGAGTTTTTGAACTTTTCGGTTCACAAACGGTCTTCAGTAACAAATTTGATTGAAAACCGAGATCCCACTGTATATGGTTTTGCTGCTAGCAAAGAGGCTAAACAACGACTGTCTCAAGAGTTCTTAAGAGCCACAAGGCTAAGGAAGAATTCTATTTTAGCACAATCCAGACTAAAACAACTAGATGTCACTATAGTACACTTTAGTATTTCTATGCTGTTCCTTAATCACATGCACACAGCACACTGCTAACTGCAGGGGTAATGAGGCCACACACCCCCTACGTACACCCTGCATTCCTTTGTCACATGCATAGATTCGTTCCAGAAACCTGTACTACTGAAAACACAGTGAGCCACAGTGGACTATGTAAAGAGAAGTGAGTTCTGACGATATGATTTGGTTCATTTCTGGAGGGAGAGCATGACTGGACTGTTATTTTTGCTAGGATGAAGTTGAGGGATGACTGAGTAATACTTTAGTTAACATTCATGTACTAAAAGTTTTTACTGCAATTTAACTGCGTAATAAAATAATTAAAACGTGACAAAGTTGATAATGTTCTGTTTAAAAATCAGTCCAGTGCCTGCTGCAGATGGATGGACAATGAGCAGATGTATGAATTTCGGTCAAAATGAACTTCTTTCTTCTGCAGTAGAACTCACTGGCTGTTAATTCGTCTGTTCCTGCATGTGTTATCTCAGCAATGACCAAGTCAGGTTTTCAAGTTCACTCTATTCATCCTCACGATAAATAAAACACATGTATGGACTTTTTATATGGACTCAGTACTTCCTGTTTTGCTCAGTAGTCCTTCCTCTTCAACAAGTACTATTTGGATGTTGTGGTATTAAAATATTTTATTATATCCCGCTCTCACAGCTTAAGGCGCTCACGGCTATTTGAAGCATCTCTACTTCCTGGTGTAGAAACACAATGCATGCCATACATTTCATTACAACAGATTTTTAATCATAATCGTCATAGAAAAATACATTTAACACAAGTAGTTGTTCCAGAATAACTAGTATTTCACTCTCCACCCTGGGCAAGAAACGTGAGGAGACGCAACAGAGGGACAAAAAACAATATGGAGACAGCGAGAGCCTGAGGTCCAGGATAATAAGTAACACGAGACGCAGTTGTTAAGTTTTCATCCTGAACAAATCTGTGACGATCTGAGGAAAGAAATTAAATTAAAAAAAAGAAGACTCTAAAAGGAATAATTTAATATATAAAAAAAGAAAAAAGATGTGAATCAGTGCAATTACAACCAAACGTCCTCAAGGCATTTTGTGGGGTGGACAATGTAGGATTCAGTCAGTAAACACCGGTATGACATCCAGCCACAGACGAACGCTGAAGTTATGCCGAGGTCAGACGACTATAATATATTTCTTTCTCTTATGAAGTCAGATTGGGACAACAACACTTTGTCAATCTGTTAATTTGCTAACTAACAACTCCTGTCCAATCACAGCCGTCTATGCTTCCATTGTTAAACACCAATGATGTGTGAGGACACATCCAAAGCAGAAAAAAACCGTAACATCCTAGACTTCCTGTTGGGAGGTCTTGAGGCGCACCAGATGTGGCCTTGATTATTGTTCACTACGACACCCACCACATACTTTGCTCTATGGTAGTGTGTCACAGTGGTTAGAGTAGCTGCTATCATGGGCCCAGAAGAAGAATAAACGATTACGTTGCTGCAGCCTCTCAGTCCAGAAGGAGGGTAACATTCACAAGTTGGTTAGGGAAATGGATTGTTGTCAACCGGCCAGTCAACCTGCCCAAAACCAACTGCTCCAAAATCCAACCAACAGCCTTGTTATGTAAAGGTTTTTGTACAACTACTACTAAATGAGTATGATGACGATTTCAATACTACACAACACAAGATGCCAGTTTGGTATAGAGGTCCAGAAACATCGTGCTGTAACCATTGACTACAACCCCAAACCTTTCACACATTAGCAAAGGATACACTGACGTTATAAGTCTTTGTAATTACATGACTCTGGAGAAGAGCCAGTCTACATTCCACAATACCGCCATAAGTACATGAGTACATGTAATTGTGTTGTAACCTCACTGTGCAGTATCTCTTTAAATGTTGCACCATATTTAATATGAACACTGGAGTTGAAACAACTCTGTAAAACACAACAGCTTTTCCAAAATATTATGGTTAGGTTTTTGGCAACAGTTCCATCTGTGGAGAAAGCCTTAGACCAACTTTGGTTGTTAGGTACGTTGACCCTTCAAAATGTCACCAGTTCACTTTATGCTGCTTTAAGAATTTAATTTTGGTTACCCTCCTTTGTGCGTATAAACTCTGTCTAAGGAAAATAAAAAAATTCTACCAATTCCACGACTAATTCAAAAAGGTCAGGAAAAGAAAAACACAAAATCAGTTGTGTAAGTAACACCTACAGTAGACAAATCAATGTAATGGGGTCGGTAATGTTTGAGTGGATACTGAATGACTGAAACGGGAACTGAAAACTCCACGGGTGACAGCGTTGGTGAATGTCGGCTCCGTCGTGACCTGAGTGAACAGTGTCTGCGATGCGTGATTATTATCAACCAGCTTCTGTTGGATGTCTAACAAGATTATCATCTTCTTCTGTAAGAGACAACCTCAGACTGAGAGTCAAGAACAGAAGAAGAAATGATCACTCATGTGACAATAATCCTGGTTTTCCTGGTTGATATTCCAGGAGGGACAACCAGAGGCTGTTTCTTTCATTTCTTATAAACGGTCTATAGATGTTGGCTGTAGTGCTGCTGCTGCTGTTGCTGCTGGTGTTGGTGTTCAGGCAGATTGAAAAGCAGTGAAGTGTAGATCATAGAGCAGTAATAACACCTCTCCCCTCCTCTTTGCTGATGCTACAGTGCTGCACACCCACCTTGCGCCCACTCACGGGCTACCAAGTGGCTCATTTGCTGCAGGACACATAGGTAATCGACCATTTTTGTTGTTTTCTCTTTTAAACAAACCACCAGGTGAGATGCTGCATCAGCGACCCGCTGAGCAGATCACGCATCCGGCCCTGGGTTTTGGAGACTGGGCCCTGGTTTTCTACGGTCCCTCTCACTGTGAGACCTCCACAGTGACACCATCACTTCGTCGTATTTTAATAATCACAGCCTCACTGTCACGCTGAGGCTCTACATGTTCATGTAACTGCCACACAATGATGCTTTTCACACAATAAAAGCCACAATGACAGATAAGAGGGGGTTGGAAGCCACTGCGCAACAAGAATTCAGCCTGGACTGAACCACAACAACCAGTGGAACGGTTCTGCCACAGAATCCTGCGGGTGTTAAAAAAAAAAAAAAAGAAAAAAAAAAGATGCAAAATGCAGAGCTGCCATCTCAGATGCTGCTGTTGCTACTCCTGCTGCAAACACTCCCTGCGTTGTTCACCTCCAGCACCGCTGGGCCCTGCCTTCATGTTAACCTGCCCCGCTCAACATGCGAGCTTTCGGGGGCAACAACAGCTGCTTCTACCGGGAACACGCTCGGTTCGTTCTGCCCAGAGACAGTGAAGGGCTGCAGCAGGGATGAGAGATGGGAGACAGAAATCCCAGAATTTCCGGCACTGTCGACAGGACAGGCTCGTCCACGGAGCAAGTGGTTTAAATAAAGGTGGTTATGGGAGAAGGAGGTGAAAAAACAATACCAACAAGAGGAGCGGAGGAGACGAGCAGGAAAATTCACTCACCTTCCCTCGCCTTCAGGAGAACCGTGTTGGCCACGATATTTTCAATCTCCATTGTCACGATGTGAATCCCGAATAGTCTCGATACATTTCACTCAGAGGAAAAAAACGACGTCTTTTTTTTTTAAATTAGATCAAACGTGCCGACGGGCGCGAGCCTGCTGCTGCACGCGCACAGGACGCGGCTCATAGTCGTTGGTTTTGTTTTAATTGTCAAAAATTCAGAGATGGAAGTCGAGGTTTCTCTCCATGGTAAAGAGGTTTGATCAACGACAACCCACGGAGCTGTGTGTGATTACAGCGGAGCTCGTTAGCATTCACAGCCTGCCTCCCTTCTCCCCCTCTCCTCTCTCTCCTGCTTGCCTTCCTTCCTGCTTCAGCTCCCACCTCCTCCTCTTGCTGCTCTTCCTCCTCCCCCTCCCCGCCCCTCCTCTGCACAACGAGCCAGCGAGAGTAGGAGGGATTACTTTACAACCACTGTATTAGCACACGCACACACATATATACACACCCACGCAGGTTTGCAAAGCAATTCCTCTTAGGACTCTGCGTTGACTTCCATTCATTTGTCAGGCTAACACAGAAGTCTTCAAACGGGGGTCCGTGACCCCTCTGGAAAGCATTGTAAGGTTTCTCAGTTTGAAATGATTTCACCCAAATATCTTTCCTCAAATGTAAATGTCTTCCTCCTGGTACTCTTAGATATAGTGGGACAAAGAACAACTACTTTACAACCAGTGTATCAGGACTTTGCCTTGACTTCCATCCATTTGTGCACACTAGTCCTGTGGGGTCTACGACCACTACAGGTCCATGGAAGTACTGCATATATTGTCTATAGATGACAATGTCTTTTATGACATGTTAATATAAAGCCAACATTGATTCTTCTTCTCAGACCTTAGCCCAGCAGTCAGTGGGTCAGGGTGGGGTTTTGCCCCGGACAGTTCTCTAGTCCATCACTATGAGGGGTGATACACAGATAAACCCATCAGTTACCAGCTGGGATTGAACAAGTGATCCTCTCGCAGTAAGGCAGGAGCACTAACCATATGTTTATATATGCCACTAGCCTCAGTTTAAAACAAAACACAACTGTATTCACTACTGATCGCAGGTCCTTCGACTGAGGCCCTCACTGACCCCTGGACTTTTACCTTCACCGTACCTCTATCCCCAACCTCACCCATGGCCTGGTGATGCCTAACCATACCATAATATAGAGCGCTTCACAACTTCAACCTGGTGTTTCAGAAAAAGTAGGCAATAATTCATTGTTATCATTTAGAACACAAACCTGCACTCTGACCCTGCAGGTGTTAACGGTGCAGGTTTAACGCCCTGTTCCATGATCTTTGTCTTTATGGTTAAAGTTGTTCATATTAACAGCAATACTGAAGTTAATCAGAGCCTTCAGCTGCTCACAATGAACAATTCCCTTAAAATTTGAAGGAGCTTTTCACGCTGCCTTCATGTCTTCATCTCATGACTTTGGGAGTATTTTTAGTGTGGTCTACGTGAACTGGTTAAAGAACAGCAACAATGGACCATTTCTGGTGTTGGGTGATTTCAGGATCAAGTCCATAAAAGTAGCAGATTTACAGCTTCACACCAGTCTTCATGTTAAGGGGACTACTTTTCTGGGATTCTTAATGGACCTGTATTCATTAAGACCAAGTAATCAGTTAATGCACAACCTTACCCTCGGCTTAATCACAGTAAATATTTTACTCGGAACCCTAAGTGGGGCCTCTGAAATCAGGTTTTGCCTCATTAGGATCAGGGTTTGGCGGTCATCAGGACCCCTGGACCTGACCTGGTGAGTGCTGACCAGAAGAAAGATTTACTCTTGAATAGTTGATCTTTGAGAAGCAGGAAGCAGGAGAAAAAAAAGCTTTGGAACATCACTACAGACGCCAACAGTTGTAAATGTCACAACAACATCAGCAGCAAGTAACAGCATGTTCAGATTAGCAGTAACTGATGTAACTCATATCCGAGTTCTTTTCTGCTGATGTGACTCAGAAGGGTTTTTTTTTTTACAGAGGTGTGTGAACAGAAAAAAAAAACCTAGAATGTCACAATATTCCAGACCATATCCAGCTTTGGTCCTGGATTGGGTTTCTAATTCACGACCAAAGGTTTTGTTTCCCTTTTGCATATTTTCCAAACGTTACTGTGATAAAACGAGAAAACGATTCTTGTGGCATGTAGTAGACAAAAGTATTTGTCTATTTCATACCACACAAATACAATTGTTGTACAATATTAGATTAATGTGCATTAAGCATGAGGTAGCCATTAAAAAAAGAATTGTTATTAGCATTATTGCTAAAGTGTTAGCCTTAAATCTGGATTTTGATATAAAAAAAGCTCAAATTGAGCTAAGAAATATAATACAGTTTAACAAAGCTATCCGAAGACTGTGATTCAATTAGCCATAAGATAAAGAAGTTAGCCATTTTTTGACAAATGTTCATGAAATATTCGCACAGTCGGCAAAGTGTTGATAAATATATATTCAAATTTACATTTGATGAGACAGAACTGTAAATGTGCTACATCATGTTTCTTGGGGGTGAAAAAGGCCTCTGTTCCAAACTGACAACGTTCATATGGAAGTCAGATGTCACACTACTAAGTCTAGTTAGTCAGGTGAAAGGTCTCATTTAGCTTGGACTCAGTGAAACAGCAGCTAGTCTCCTGAAAGTCCCTAAAAGTGTCAGACTCTCCCTTATTAAACCTTACTTTAAAAGGTTTTTTTTCTAATTCTATGAAAGAACACACTTATAAGAAAACAATTCCTATCTGTTTCTTTGTAGCCACGTTGCTGCTGCTGCTGTATTTTCAGAGAGCAAAAATACAACTGGCCTCAGAGGTCTGACACAGGCCTGTTATTGTGTGTACCATGGGATTGAGGGTGGATTCAGTTGTTTCATTATGCCAAGCTGTACAGCCTGAAGAAAAGAGATAACATACTCACTTTTGTCCTTATGGCCACATGATGACACAGCACTGCCTCAGGCTTCCTGCCCTCACTATGTGATCTACAGTACACAGTCAATACGGTTGGGCAAGGGTTATGAATAGAATTATGTTGGAGAAGAAGTGTTAGGGTTAGCTTTATGCATGAAGATATATTCTAGCTTGTAAAACAAATATTTAATTTATAATAACAACTTGAATCTGTAATAACTATGTAGGTATAGTGACCAAGTCTCTGTGCATCCCTTGCAAAAGGATGCTGTTTCCTACTAGGATGAACTTGCATTAACTAGAAGGATGTAATCCTGTAATCTCAAACTTCATTATTCATACTCCTCCCTTCATGACCATCCCTATATCCTTTTCTCGTCATAGGTGGGACTGGAGTCCAGCTTGGGGCTTAGTTACACTCTGAACGCTTCTCCAGTCTCCATTACACTTACATCCACTCCTACTGTCAGTTTAGAGTGATAAATTTACTTTACTTACTTAATGTACTATTTCCTCTGCATGAATGCTCCTCCTTTTTGGACTGTAGAAGGAATATGGTGTACCTGGAGAAAAAACACAGACAAGGAGAACTGTGACTGAGTACAAGTTTCATGG